GGGCAAGTTTTTTCAAATCTTAAATGAGGACGGGGAAGAGACGGGTTGGGGATAGGGAAAATATTTTTCCCCAAATTAGGAGTAGGGTTTGCATATAATTCCCTGAACCCGATGGTAAATTAGTAAAATATCCGTAGATTTAATATTGATTTTTAAAATATCTCTAAGTTTTCCTCATATTCTTTTAATTTCATTTATAAAATACCCTCAAATTTTCATAATACCCCTAAATTCCCATAACCCTATTTGTAAAATATCCATAAATTAGATTTTTTTTAGATGGTTGCCTCAAGGTGGGGAAAATTTGGGGATTCCACATCCCTGACAAGGAATGGGTGCCTCATCCCGAACCCACACCACTGGGGTTAGGGCAGGGATAGAGTAGAGTTTCTTGACTTACTGGAGTCAGGGACAAGGAGGGGTGCCCCATCCTGTGCATCACACGATCCACTAGTATAGCATATTGGAATGTGTTGGAACTGTTTGTTATTGAGAGGAGATCTGAGGACTCGCACCTTTCGGCTTTGGGGGCTGCAATCCAAACAGACCCCAAATATTAGGATTTAGGAGAAGTGGCCTGGTTCAAATCTTGAAGTTTGAAACAATTTGAATCCATTCAATGGTTAAACATACTTTGAACTATGATAACCAAACAATCCTCGGTTAACTTTGGCTGTTGGGGCCCAACAACATAGGTTGTTGAGACAGTTTTTGGGCTTAGCAGTTCATCTATTCATGCCATGTAGGGGTGGCAACGAGTCGAGATTTTCACGAGCTGCTTGAGCTTGGCTCGTGAAAAGCTCAGCTTGGCTCGGTTTCAGCCGAGTTTGAGCTCGAGCTCGAGCCCGATTCAGTGGCTCAATTAATAAACGAGTCGAGCTCGAGCCTACTAGAGCTCAGCTCGTGAGGCTCGCGAGCCGATTCGAATATATAATATATAATAAAATTATAGAAAATAATATATAATAAAAATATTATAATTATTAATTATTATAATTCTTAATTTTTAAATATAAAATAATTTTTTATATAATAAAATATTTATAAAATATATAATAAATATTTTTATAAAATATAAAATGAGCCAAGCTGAGCCGAGCTCGAACTTATGAACTTTTGACTCGAGCCGAGCTCAAGCTCAAGGTTCTGGCTCGAACCGAGCTTGAGCCTTGTAGAATAGTCTCGAGCCGAGCTCGAGCCTGGTACTATTCGACTCGGCTCAGCTCGAATCTACCCCTAATGCCATGCTTTGGTTTTTAGTCAAAATAAATTAAGATATAATTACTAATTTATCCATTCTCATAATAACGTGACATTTCAAAAAATATAGTCTGTTGACCCCTAACAACTAAAGATTTTCCATCACTCCTTATCATCCAACATATAACAATTCATCGGGTCATTCAAATTGAAAATATTGACTGTCTAAACTGGACAGCCTGGGCTATCAAAGCTCTCCCCATATGATAAGTTAATTACCATATTCCTTCTTTGCAAAAATATCAATTCTGGATGCATTGCTTGATGAACCAATCTGTCAGACGAAAATAGCCCTGTTTACATCTCAGGGTGTCAACATAGATAGCCCCCATGTATCTATACCTTTCTAGTGATATGGAAATTGTCTTATTATTATTATTAGGAATTTTTTTTATTAGTACCCAGTATTTTGGGCCTAGTGCCACTTTATTTTTTGAACTTTAAAATGCGAGAATTCAGTATCCAAACTTTCAAAATGTATCAATCAAGTACCTACCATTAACCATCTGTTAACTAACCATTAAGTGGCATTTGAAAAATACACAAATGCCCTTCGAGTGTCATCTAATTTTCATTATCAATCATTCAAATGTTGACAAAAAATTAACAATCCCAAATCCTTGTTTCTTCTATTCAAGAAAGTTGGGGTCACGTCTCAATGGGCATTTTGGACCCCAACTTTCTTGAATAGAAGAGGTAAGGATTTATGATTGTTAATTTTTGTCAACGTTTGAATGTTTGATAAAGAAAATTAGATGACACTCGAAGGGCATTTGTGTCTTTTTCAAATACCATTTAACGGTTGGTTAACAACTTGTTAATGATAGGTGCTGGATTGACACGTTTTGAAAGTTTGTGTACTGAATTGTTGCATTTTAAAGTTTGGGGACCAAAGTGGCAATTAGACCCAAAGTATCGGGAAATTTTCCTTATTATTATTATTATTATTATTATTATTATTATTATTATTATTATTATTATTATTATTATTATTATCTTCTTACATGTGATGTGGCTTTGGTCTCCACTGGAGTGGAGTGCTATATACTCGGTTTGAACTTACTCTTCATAGAATGGTCCTCACAAAGTCACACTCTCCTCAACACATTGAAGCCACACATTTGGAACATCTTCGGTACGTGTAACTTTTCATTCATGGGAGATGTTCCCAATGCAAGGTTGCAAGTGCTATGAAGTGGATATGAGAACCATTCTATGAGGAGAAAATTCAGATTCCTATATGCTAAACCCGAATTGGGGTCTCCTACCCACAAGAACTCTACCCACAAAACACTACCTCCGTGCATTGGGAACATCTCCCCATGCATAATAACATGTAAGAGCATGAAATGTTCCCCATGTGTGGCTGCAATTTCATGTGGGTCGGTGTGGGTATTAGTAGGTCCTCGGATCTCCTACGAACAAGAACCCCATCCCCACCTATTTACATGCTATTGCAGTCACACATTAGGAACATCTCTTATACTTGTATGTTCCCATACAAGGAGATATTTCTGATGAATGGCTGTAGTGTCTTGTAGATAGGAGATCCAGAGAATTCACATCTGTGCCGCCCCACAATGACCCACATCGCACCCCCACCATGTATTGGAAATATCTCCCGATGGTAGTATCAGACCTGATAATGTCATCATCGGGAGATGTTCCCAATACACGACGGGGGTGCGATGTGGGTCATGCGATACATATCGGTTTTTGAAATTGCCAATATACCGAATACAAGGAATTAAGGACAGGTAGCAACTTTAAACCAAAGTTTGGGTTTCCTGATTTTTTCTTCGGCTCAGTTTGGGAAGAGTACAAACACAAACATGTTCGGTGCAAAAACCTTGTGTACAGTATTTCTAAGCTTTGCATTTACACTACATACATGTTTTTGCACTCTTTAATTTCCAAACAGGGCCTTAAAAAAACAAAAGAAAACAAAAAAAGAACATATGCTCCTTTTTGACATTGGATAAGCCCTTCCCTAGTTGAACCAACCAGTTGGATAAAACAGTTTAAAAAGAAAAATTATAAAAAAAAAACCCTTCAGCATTTATCAATGTTTTCTCGTCAACAAATTTAAATAGCTTTATGCTTTTCCTTTTTAGATTTCTTATTGTCATCAAATTTGCAAAGTCTGAGAGACAATCTAACAATTTTATTTGCACTAGTACAAATGCATGAGAGTGCAAATGAAATAAAATGCAAATTGTTTAAATTTTTTTTTGTTTTACTTTATTCTGCTTCATGTCTTAATTTACTTTATTTGTACTGCAATTAGACAAAATAAGCTAAAATTTAAAACAAAAATAGGTCAAAATTTACACTCAACTCATCTGCACTGCCATGATTTTCCATCAATGCAAATTTAGTTGCATCCCAACCAAACACAGCCTTAGGCTCAATTAATTAGTAATGTAGTAAATAGATGGGAGTGCAATACTGCAAAACGACTGAATGTTATTTCTGATTTGCTTTTGTCTCGTATTTGAATTTATCTTATTATTTGTTGGGAGATGTTCCCAATGCAGACGTGCAATGTGCATGTGGGGCACAGATTTGATCTCCTTTGAGAGTAAGGTAAGAAACAAGATGATGTGGCCCCCCACTTTATGAGAGAGAATTGATGTAGGAAGTAGGTGGTGCAAATTTTATTCAGTTTTTGAGATGCAAAATTTGCACTGCTAATGAATGCAAATGAGGAAAAAAGAACAAATATAATTATGTATCAAGTAGCAGTGCAAATCATAGTTACAAGCAAACAGATGCAAAACTGAACCAGGTGCAAAATTTGCATTTAGTTCAGTTTTGCATTGGATCTAGGGCTGTCAATGGGTCGGGACAGGGTGTTCCAGTCCTGGACCGTTTATACTGATAAATATAATTATTTATATAAATAATAAATTAAAATTTGATTTTTCATCAAGGTTCAAAGTATCGACACGTATCGATAGCACCCCGATACACCTTTACAGAGGGTGTATTGGGGTTTTGACCAGTTCAGGGGGTGGAGAAACCTTAAACCGATCCTCCTGAACTGGATTTGAAAAGAAAATTAAAAAAGTACTGATACTCGATATTTAAAACCTTGTTTTTCATAATATAAACTTAATAAAAATGTCAGTAAATAATAAAATATTAATATGTTAATAAATCAAGTGATTTAACTAAAATTATCTTATATTATTTATCAAATTTACCATTTTAGACATAAAATATAATAAAAATTAGAAAAATTAGGAAACATTTATATATTATTAATAAAAAATCAGTTCGGGTCTGAACAGTTTGGAACAAGTAATAACTAGAATGAACCCAATTATTAATCGGGACAAAATCTCAGAACCAGAACTGGAATAATCGGTTTGGTTCAGCTGGTTGGGTAGAACCGATCCGTTGACAGCCCTATCCGGGTGCATATATGCCCAGATCCTGGACCCTATTAATATTATTTTTCATTGGTTCCAGGTCTGGTCGATTTGGTGTTATGTAATGGGTTTATACCAGATCCACTAAGCAATCGGTACCAATCGGGTATATGGAAACGTTAAAAAAAGAACTCTAAAATCCACCTGATTTCATTTATTTATTTTATTTTTATTTGGTTGGTTCGCCATTGTTTGTGCCTTCATCCTCTTATGTAGTAAAATGTTAATTCTTCTCCTATAACAATATTTTAACTTATATCCTAAAGGTAACATTGCACCGATCAGCATCACAACAACTATGGAGAATCACATCCCAAAAGTAAACTGTTAATCCTGATTGTATGCATCAATGACAAAATTACAGAAGATACAGTGTCAAAGTTTATCAGAACATGACACAGTCACTATTGTTTCCATTGTCAATGACTTGTGCATCATTAGCCAATGAAGAGGGCTCTAAAATTACAGTCGATTTATCTTATGTCTCACCAAAAATCCCACCAAACCCATTTTTGGGTCACCAGAAACTCAAATAATCTGGAGTGGTAGTTGAGACAGAAAACCATATAACCCTTTTTCTCCAGGAAGGGGCTAGTAGACTAAGTGACTGAGTCAACAGGATAAATAATGTATCCTTGTATCTAGGCAGACGTATGTATTGTAGAATATATCCTCTCTCTCTCTCTCTATGCAGATGTGGAGGGAATGTCTTCAATTGTGATGAAGGTTTTAGTGTAAGATGGGGGAGATTTTTTCACGATACAAGGCTTGGATGATGGCCTGTTAGGCTGAACTTGATCAACTTCCTCTGATGGAATACCAAACTGTATGAAACAAGCCATGACAGATATTTATATATACATTAGGAATAGAATACAGCACGAGTGTCATATAATTCTCAGAACATTTGAGGTATTCAGACCTATTTAAAAGATTAAACTATGAAAGCATGACATAATAATGATCAGAAAAAAAAACATGATATATTCTATTAAACTAGAGACAGTGGTAAGGGATGGGTGACAGTTCCCTTGCTCACAAGTTACAACCTACTTATTAAATGGATATCGACTCTACTTTATTGGTGCTTGTAGCATTATATATTTTTTTGGCAGTCATAAGGCTAATAGCAGAGCTGCGTTTGAAGATACCACATCCCAAGTCATGGTGATCAGATGACACTTACCATTTGTTGTTTCTTCTGTTGGTTGGATTTTCCTTTTCTAGTCTTTTACCTTTCCCACCAATACTAAAGAAGTGCATTGGATCTTATAACTGGGATCATCTGATCACTATGACGTATGTAAGTGACTTATTAATTGGAAATACATAAGCTCTTCTTTTGTTACAAATCACAAGAATTGATATCATTTTGTAATATGTAGTTCACACATCTGCACGTGCAAACCATGGTACAGATCATCTACATTTTTCTTAGGAGTTGGGATGAACTCGCAACAAGAACGCAGACACTTGAACTTTCGTGCATTGATTAGCAGTGCATAAGCATTTGGCCTATAATTTCTTGAATAGAAAAGAAAAAGAATGGATGGAAATTACCAATACACCAGGAAACTTTTCAAAGCTCCTGGATTAGTATCAGAAACTTCATGTTATAGTATTTTGTTTGTATCAAGCACAGAAAAATTTTCTATCGATTTTATCCATGGTCTGTACCTTTGGGCAACCAAGAAGTTTGCTCCCACTCACTAACAACATCCGTGTTGCAAAGAAAAATTCACTAAGCAAATCAAATTGGAAATACTTTGCTACAATTCAAAAACATTCTACATGAAACTCAATCAAAATGACTAAATGCAACTGCAAGGTTAACTCATGAATACAATACTGACCTTGTAAGCACAGCCAGATACACAAGCGTGGAAACATTCCTGTATGCAGAAAAACAAGTACAATATTGATCAGTGGAATAGGAAGACAGAACTAGAAGTGCAGCCATTGCCCTTTTCCTATTTATTCCTTATGGACCCAAATAATCGCAAACTTTTGAGGATATGTTCAGCTTCATCACCACATTTTAACTTCATAATTTCTCATATATACTTTCATCCAAAAGCAACAGAGAGAGCTTGAACAGGAAAATAACTAATGAGGAATTATGATGGTAATTAACAGAATAAACCACAAATGCATGACTAGGTCCTTCAAGACTAGCAGCACTTCATTTAGCATGACATGAAACTGAGACAATATAGAAAGATCAAAAAAGATAAAAAAGAAAAAAAATAATGCAAATAAAACATCCTCAGTCAAAACATTGAAGTATCAAAGACACAATGCAACCTCCAGCAGATAACCTAAAAGCAAAAGACAACTTATCTTTGATCACTTTGGGATTGAGTGTTTTAAGATGTAGGAGAAATAGGTAAAGGCTATTACTCAGTGCTGGTCCTGGATATCTAGGGTCAGGGGAGGGATGGAGTAGATATGTACCTAACCTCATTTTTTGCATGAAGTGATCATTTTTGGACTTGAACCCATTTTTTCATGCTTGTGGACTTGAGATTTTACCATTGTGCCAAGCACAACTATAAAGGAGGCATTGAGCAACCTCAACCACATGGCAGTTCTTTCTTTCTACCACTCCATTTTGTTGTGGAGTGTAGGAACAAGAACTCTGATGAATAACCCCAAAGGTCTCAAAGTAGAATGAAAGGTTCTTCTCATAATATTCCTTAGCATTATTAGATAGGAATATTTTGATCCGTGTATTAAATTGGGTAAGGATAAGCTCATGAAAATTTTTCACAATAGTTGGTACTTCATCCCAGGATTTCATGAGATAAATCCAAGTATAGCAAGGATAATCATCAATAAAGAGGATAAAATATCTGTAACCCCCTATAGTAGGCAAATGATATGGCCCCCATACATCAGAGTGCACAATATGAAAAGGAGAAATGGATCTTTTATTGCTTACTAAATAAGATTGTCTACAATGCTTTGCAAGTTCACAAAACTCACAATGAAGACTCGATAAAGACATTCCCTTAAACATATCGGGAAACAAATGGCTCAAGGCTGGAAAAGGTAAATGACCAAACCGCAAATGACATAACATGACTCTATCAATAGACTTTGACACAACAGACTCCAGGGCTACTCCATTAGGTGGTCCAAGACTCCTATTAGGTGTGTCTAACAAGTATATTCCATTCGCCTCATGGCCACTCCTAATCGTCCTCTGAGATTTTAGGTCATGAAAAACACAATGGGTAGGAAAAAAGGTTATGCTATAGTTCATAGATTTAATCATGCTACTAATAGATAAAAGATTGGTATTAAGCTTAGGGACATGAAGAACAGAGGACAAGACAAGTGTGTCAAAGGCCTTGATATCTCCTTTGCCAGAGATAGGAGCAAGAGACCCATCAGAAAGAGATATTTTCTCTCTACCAGAGAGGAGTTGATAGGAACAAAAGAGGTTAGACAAACTGGTCATATGGTCTGATGCACTAGAATCAATAATCCAAGGGATTTTATGATTATTTGAAACAAAAGCATGATTTGCAGAAGCACGAGTATCTGAGTGAGCAAATGCAGATGATGAAGTGTTGCCAAAAGGGTAGGATGCTGTTATAGTGGTTTCCAAGTGATTCGGTAACCTCCCATACTTCTCAAACTCTGCCTTTACTACTGCCAATTGCTCCATAGCTGACTTTTCTTCACTCTCCTTATTCCCTCCTTCAGGTACTGTGGCAACATTAGCATTCTTAGGCTTTCCTATCTAACAATTCTTCTTAAAATTGTTTCTATTGCTATTATCTTTGTTATTTTGAAACCTATCCAGGAGAAGATCAGGATGGAGTTTCCAACCAGTGTCCTTAGTATGCCTTGGTTTCTTGCAGTATTCAAATATCACTTCTTTCTTCTCGGTTGGACCTTTTGGCTTTATTCCAGCAGTGCAAAATATTCTGTAAGTGGGCTCTATAACTGCACCTGTCACCTACTCTCTTCACTGCTTACCATAACATATGCCTGAGCAAGAGTGACCTCATCTTTTGCCAAAATATTCTGTCTAGTAATGTCGAGCTCAGGGTTGAGTCCTGTAAAAAGCTTAAACACCCTGTTTTGTTCCACCAGTTTCCTAAAAGTCTCTACATCATTAGTACTCTCCCAAACAACTGTCTCCATAACATTAATTTTCTGCCATAGTGATTTCAGCATGAAATAGTAGATTTCTACACTCTTCTCCCCCTGTCTTAGATTTTTCACATCACTTGTCAGCTTATAGACTCTTGCCACATTCAACTTTTGTGAATATGTTTCTATAACATTGTCCCAAATTTCCTTGGCCGAAGACATCCAGAGATAATGCTGACTTATATGGGGCTGCATAGAGTTAACCAACCATCCAATAATAGTGTAGTTCTCCTGCATCCATTTCTCATATGCAAGGTCTGTCTCTGCGGGTTTCACTTTACTGCCTGTGAGATATCCCAGTTTACCTCTACTACGGACGTGAATCCGTATAAACTATGCCTAGGCAGATAATTGGTGCCATCTAGTTTGATTGTGGTCACTCCAGTAAAAAAGGAATCTACCAGGCTAACCTTGGATACCAACACCTGCTTCGATTCACTTTTGGAATGCTCCATTGATCAAACGAAAGTAAAAAAACCAGTTTTTCAGTCTATATAAACTTAATTGAGGTCAATATAGTACCTGGAGACTTGAAAACTAGGGTTTCACTGCACCCGGTTATCAGAGAGGAAGAGAGAAGTGGTTGCCGCTCCTACCAGAGCTTCCAAACCACCTACAAGGCTCAAAAACACACTTCTAGAGATCAAACTACACCTCCCAAGTCCTGAGCGCCACACCCATATCTTCTCCTTGACTTGTAACTTGAAAGCTCTCTAGTGGGCTAGGGTTTTAGGCAGAAAATTACAATTCCACTTCTTGGCAGCTTTCGGTCAGATTCTAACTCTCCAAACCCTCTACCAACTAGGCAAAAATATTCCCTGACCTATCAGGAACTTATCTCTCCACACACACTATGGGAAAAGAGAAAAGAAAAAATAAGGGAAAACCTACTTTGATACCAAGGAGTAAATTTGACTTCTAAATCTGATAAGAAACTTGATTAAAGAAGTAAAAAAGTGAGAAAGGAAGAAGAAAACGGAAGAATAGAAGAAGGGAGTGGAGAAAAAGAAGAGGAAGATGAAGAGGCTTTGATAATCACCTCTCTCCCCTCACTAATCCTTTTATTAATCTTCACTAATGTGGTTAACTACAAATCAGCCCTTAAGTGGGCGTCCAACTAAGCATAGACTTGAAATAACTTAAAAAGAAGTTAACAGGCCCATTAGCATACAAAATAAATAACCTACTACTGAAACATAAAATAGACAGTAGGGCCCATTCGGCCCAGTATCTCTACAATAAGAAAGGACAGATTGGGAAGAACGTCACCTGTAGTATGACAAACAGACAATTCTAAATAGAATAATATTTGTTAACATTTTTTTATTGGAAATGGTAACTAAGAATATTTGTTAACATAAGAAGCGAGTTTTGGTAGACAAGAGTGGTGGTTTACTTCTTATATCCTTTCTCTGCATATAACTCAATCAACCATCAGACTTTGTGGCCAAGAGAACAATATCACCTAACCTTTTGCTACTGAATTCATCACCTTCAAGTTATGCACAAATATAGGAAGCATATGGAGAAAAGTGGATATTTCCTAGTAAAACCTGAAACATTTGCTCATAACTTACAAGGTGGCAGATTTTATCTTGGCAGGTTTATTCTTCTATGTTTGGAGTACAGTGCTTTTACTCTAATAATCCAGAAGAGATGTTTCCAAGTGGCTGAAGATTCAAGGAAGTAAGAGGACAAAGATCTGTTGGTGCTGGAGTTTTATTCCTTTTTGCAATATGTTGGGGAATATGGAAGGAGAGAAACAATAGATTGTTCAAGGATAAATCCACAAGGATTGAAAGAATTATTGCTGATATAGGAAAGATGATAATGGATTGGTTGCTGATTTTACCTGAATTTGCTCAGGCAAACATATCAGACAGACTTTAGTACTATAATTTTTGGGAAACCACTATAAGTCCAAATATTGTGTCATTGAACATTTACAACTGAGTTGCATGTGAGTGTTAGCCCAGCACCCATTATCAGAAGTGTACCTTTTCTTTCTTCTATAAATAAAATTTCTATTTTGCTAAAGGTCATTATGCAATGTTGTCCCTATCTATCTGAGGTCTTGGGAGGGGTAGACTGCATACAGCCCTAACCTTTGGCATTTTTTTGCACAAAGTGGCTACTCTCAGACTTGAACTCCCACTCTCACACTTTCCAGCCCAATATTTTACCATTGCCCCAAGCAATGGCCCCTAATAAAATTTTTATTTTTCTATAAAAATCAGAATGGTGCAGATACTAAGAAATAGAGATATGGTCAAGGGAAAAACCGTTGAGTATTGTTCAGCTCCTGGTGAACGATCAATGTAAGCACTCCACTGCTGGTCCTTGAAAACAGGATCCTTATAGCAGATCTCATTGCACTCCTCTAAACCTGAACATGCATTATATTTAATTATAGGTTCAAAATAGAAGAGAAAATGGACTGCAGAATTCAAATAATGGGCCTACTTATCACTATAAGAGAATCTGGAAAACCCCAATAAATTCCACTTAGAAAGTAAAACACACACACGCACACACACAAAGGACAGAACACTATTGAAAAAGGACACATTCAAGAGATAGACGCTAATATTAGAATAAACATTTATTTTTTTTCTTTTTGGAATCAAAAGGAAAGCGTTAGATGAAGAAAGTGACACAATAAAACAAAAAAAAAAAGAATATCATTTAAGGTCCCGATATGCAATCTCATTATGTATTCATCGATTGATAGACAATAACATTATTATCAACTAGTGTAAGAGCACGTTCTGTGCACATGTGCGAGTAAGTATTACCCAATTATGATATATGATATTTGGATTTAACTTTTATGACCTGCACAGAACTCAAGTCAAGTATCTGCTTTATATATTATAGATGATTCAATTAGTAAAAGAAAGCTCAAGTAAATGATGAAATTGCTGTTTCTGCATAGACAGTGGTCATGTTGGGTTTGGAAAACACCAAATCATGTATAAATTATCCAGGGCTATCTGGAATAATTAGTTCAACAGTGCTAATCCAAACAACAATACTCAGTACAGAATCCAAATCAACCCCCAGAATGATCAGACAACATCCGACCAGATAGAGCCTCAAGGATATAAACCAATGGGAAGTGGGGAGTGGGGACACCAAATGCATAGAGAAAGATATAAACCAATGGAAATATCATCTTAACTCAGTTATAAAGTGGTATACAGTGTAGTCTTAAATCCTCACATCAGGAACTAAATTGTACAATGTCATTAATGCACTCATCAAATTGATAAAGATAAAGAAGTTGATGTAACCAAGCTTGCAGAAACAGCCATCAAGGTAAATAAAACTCTAGGTTTGCTTGTTTTGGGAGGTGAATCTTTTACTAGGAGGATGTTCAAAGAATTGGAGGAAAGTTACATGTTGCCTGTTAGGGTGAGTGATGGAGGTATTCAAGTGCAGGCTCCACTAGTCAATGAAGGCCACAATAACTCAACTACATCTAATTTGGTAGAGGACTTCGGTGAAAAGACTGAAGCCTTGGTTGATGCCCAGATATTTGAGAAAAACACAGTGCTGGAATTGGAAAGGATTAATGAGAAACCCTCATGTTCGCTGGAGCTCCGGAAAAATATTCTAGCAAATAGAAGGTTTAAGAAACAGAAGAAACAACAGGATATTCTGGTTTCAAAGGCTTTTTCTAGGCTAAAGGGGGCTTCTTTGGGATTAAACAAAGCAAGAAGATTGTGAAGACCAGGAAAACTCTAGAAGCTTTAGTGGTCAGTGATTTGCAGGATGCATTGTTTGAGGGAGGTTCTGGTATTGCTCCATCAAAGATCTATGCTGCTGTCTCGAGGATTTGATATGTTTGATTATGCTATCCTGGAGTTTTTTTTTTTTTTTTTTGTTCTTGAGTCACATGTTTATGGTTGCTCTGGTTTGTAGCTCTAGTAGGTCTCTTTGTTTGGGCTTTTGGTTTATTGCTTCTACTTCTGAGTCCAGGTGGTCTTGTTTCTATTGCGTTGAGTTCTGGAGGTTTTGTTTTTTACTCTCTCAAGGGTCTTGGGCTCCTCCCCCTTCTTGTACTCTCTTTTTCCTTTTTAATAAATTTTATTTTTATTACCAAAAAAATTAATGCACTCTTTACTCTTCCATAAAAGTGGTAGTGGTTAGAAGGTACACAACTTTTTTCTTTAGCTAGCTCTATTTGCTAATTTGCTACTCTCCCTGCATTCCTAATCAAGCCCAAAAGTACAGCAGGAATAACAGATCAACCCAAGGGGTAAGTATGGCAATACAAAAGTTGCCTTCAAGCCCCACTCTAGGAAGCATATTTGAAAGGAAATTGACTAATCTGAGAGCCCAGAAGACGCTACCATTTAGGCTGGTAAAACAACCTTCTACTAGAAAGCCCAGGATACAGTCTCTGTCATAAGAGAAACTCCATTCTTATCACCAAGACATGAAAAATGAATATCATTAGAGGTACTGAGTGAAAATATTTTCTCTAAATGGTTATACAAATATTGTTTCTGACAATGGAAGCCTTCCTTTCAAAATCATAGGGAAACCCAAGTTGCTTATTCCACTTTAATCAACAGAAGGTATACAATGGACAGTAAAAAACAAAACTTATTCAGTATAACTAGAAACATAAAAAGGGTTTATACAATTACACATTTATTCATGCTTTTCCTCCTATTGCCTAGGTACTTCTTTATTCCCATAACTGCTACTGCTGCCAATATTTGGCAGATGCTATATTGTTTGGACTGGGGAATGACTCAAACGTAATTAGACTAAAAGCTCAATTAAGCAATAAAAGGGTTAATGTTACCACTCTAGTTTTTCAACCATCTGATATAGACTTTCTTGTACAACATTGAGCTTCTAGGGCATTCAATTAAGTCCACGGACAACTTAGTTTCCTTACAAAGTTTTTTGTTAGTTTTGAGGAGATCCCAGGACTTGAAGCATAAGCAATTTGAAACTCCCACTATTTCCTATTGTCCAACACCAGGATACTCATTGTTTACCATCTTTATATCCTTAACAATTCTACGATCTACAAGTACTATAAAAAGAAGTGCAATTTGAGATGATGAAGGCAACCTAGCAGACAAAGTGAAGCAGACATCCTACATAGGACTTCTATCCTGAAAGATTCAAGGATGTCAATTTTTATGACTTTGAATGAAGCAGCAGTTAAACATTCTTCACCTTGACATCAAGACAGTATAACCTTAAATATAGAAAAATAGAAATTATAGATTACAATAACATGTGCATAAATGATTAAAGAGTGATTTGACATAACTATTCTTTCAAAAAAGTTCAAATGAACCAGTCAGTAAAGAAAGCAGGATAACACTCACATTCTTCCCATGTCTCTCCATCAGAGTCACAACCTTTTTTGCAGAATACTCTCCCTGTAAAAAAGTAGCATAGATTATTAAGAAATTTAATTGAGGACCTCAAATTTAAAACGTACATTTTAATTGTGAAAATTTATGAACAATTGAAGTCCCAAAAGGACTTCCCGGAACCATAATTAGATGCTTGTTTTAGCAGTAGCATATTACTGTTCACAAATAAAACATAACTGGCAATTATAGACATTTGTTATAGCATGCACAATAACGGGAACAATTATGAGCACATGCTTCATATGCAGAAGTGTTTGCAATTACACAGCCAGATAGGCCAGGAAAAAATGGCATACAGGCTATAGCACAGCTTGTAGATCAAATAACAAGGTAACAACAGTCCATGGTCCATTGTGTTTTCATGCATTCTCTTTACAAACATCAACCATCATCTATACGTTATAGCTTAAAAACACAGAATGGAACACTAATGCAGAAACAAAGCACACAGGAACCATATCAAACCCGATGCATCCTACATCAGCACAAAATCTTGGATGGGATTAGTGCGGAAGCTGTTAACAGTTAAACAATTGTAAGGGCTTGATTGCATACTTTTTCTGCTAATACCTCATCCAACAGTTGGTTAAATAAATAAATTGTCTACCATGTGGATTATATCTGATGGAAAGCTAAGGGTGGATAGGATTATATGGCAAAAAACACTACTTACAAATTCTCTTACAGGAACAGAAATATATACATGCATAAACACATATTTACATGTATAGAAACAGAGAGATTAATAATAGCATAAAAACAGAGAGACTCAATGGTAATTGTGTATGTATATAGAACATGATGGTTCATATACGCAATACAAGCAGGAACCTACAGACAAGTTACGTTTATGTACGTATGTATGTATGTATATATACATGTATCTATTTAAGTACATATGTATGAATGTGTAGATGGATGTTTTGAAGCATAACAAACATGTTACTTGGTGAATGTGTGTATTTGAACCAAATAGATTGATCTTAACACAGTCCAAAGGAAACATTGAATGAGAGCACAAATCACAAGCATTCCAAAATATACGAAAAAAGAAAGACAGAGAAAACCTTAGTTCAATAAAGATAACACGATTTAAGATCTAAAATCCATTAGAAAATACAAAAAAGCAACCTTCTCATCAAAAGAAAGAAAACACAGAAGGAGATAGAAAGGGAAATGAAGATATGTTACATGGGATCTGCATGAGAGCTGCGTATTTGGCCGTGCATTGGTTTCCGCATGGAGACGTCCATTGTTGAGGAAACATTTTTTTTTTCTGCAGAGCGCGAAAAATGACAAAAAAAAAAGAAGGCAGATGGTGGAGAAAGGAGGAAAAAAAGAATAAATAAAAAAAAAGGAGGGAGATGAGAAAAAAACGGAATTGCGAATGTGGAAGGGTATTTCAGTCATTTTAACTGCAAGAATTCTAAAATCAATTATACAGTATATTATCAGAGTTGACAATTGCGTAATTATAAAGGGTATTTACGTCATTTAATATTTATCAATTATATTTTTGAAAGATGCATTTATCAATTATATAAGTTCATCGATCCTTCCCTCCAAATTGAACCGGATAAGATGGAAACGGACATAGGAAAGTAGGAAACGAAGGTTAGAAAAGGAGAGAAATTAGAAATTGAAAACCACCTTTGCTGAATGCCCCGTGAAATCACCAAAACCCTAATTTCTTCTTGCATCCGCTATTTTCTTTAATGGTACTCTGCAACTGCTTCATTCACGTTCATAGACCTCCGAACTTCTGCCACATAGCTGTTCATGGATTCATTAGGAAGTCCAGTTTGACCAACTCCCCTGGAAGTAGTAAGGTCAAGGTCGCAGAGGACCTTCAGAAGGAGTCAGAGGAAATCCTAGAATGGCATTCCGTGTGTCGACAAGTCTCGGCATTCACTTCTACGAGTATGGGCCTCTCCATTGCTCGAGAGGGAAAGCTTCCATTTGGGCGGAGCCTGCAAGAAAGCCAGAAGCTTTTGAACCAGACAACAGCTGCTATGCTCCTTCCTCGGCCGTTGGATTTTTCGGGAATCGAAGATTTATCGGAGATAGTGAGTTCTTCGGTCGTGGGACAACTTAGGACGATTAGGGAGCTTTGTGCGGTAAAACGCACTCTTCAATCCGCAAGAGAGCTTTTTGAGCAGTTGGAGGAGGCTTCATTGAACGGAGATTCTTCAGACAGGTTTCCTTTCATATTCTTATTTTGAGCTGATTGATTTTAAACCTGTACTGTTATAACTTTGCTGTTGATTATATTTCTGTCTTGAAATTTGAGTTCTTATTTTGCAACTGGATGGGAATTTCTTTTTTACTCGCCCATTCTCATTCGTTCGTTCATTTATTTTGCGTTGTTAAGTTGGAATTGCGTTTTTAACATCATTCTCAGCTCAAAATGAAGTTCTACATTCTAAAATTCGTTGTAATTGGCAGAGAGGTGTTCTGGAACTTCTCATTATCTTGTAACTGGGAGGAAAACTGGCTCTTTCTGCTGTGAGACGGACATTTCATTAAAATGAAGAGAATAATATAAAAGATGTTTTAAACGCTCCTGACAACCGTTAAATTCTTTCTAAATCATGGGGTCGATTAACCTTTTCTGATTTAGAATCTTTTCTTTTCCTGAGCTTACTTATTTTCACATAACCGATAACTGGTTACACAAAGATTACATTATTCTAGTGTTAGGTATCATCACAGAGGATCTCATAAAACAGGTATTTGAACAGGTATTATCCTCTGATCGAAATACTTCAGAATTGCAATTTCCTGACTGAATTGGAGCAAAAAATAGGATTCTGCATAGATTGTAATCTTTCAGTAGTCCTTGATAGAGCTAGTGAAGATCTGCAAATTATTAGATCAGAAAGGAAAAGGAACATGGACAACCTGGAATCTCTATTGAAGGAAGTAGCAACTCAAATTTTCCGTGCTGGGGGCATTGACAGCCCACTTATTACCAAGCGCCGATCAAGAATGTGTGTTGGTATTAAGGCTTCCTACAAGTCTTTGCTTCCAGATGGTATAGTTCTTAATGCTAGTAGCTCTGGAGCAACATATTTCATGGAACCCAAGGATGCAGTGGAGTTGAACAACATGGAAGTAAGGCTTTCAAACTCTGAGAAAGCTGAGGAGCTAGGCATCCTGAGTTTGCTAACATCTGAAATTGCAGGATCAGAAACAGAGATTATATATTTATTGGAGAGAATCCTAGAATTGGATCTTGCCTGTGCTAGAGCTGCTTATGCCCGGTCTCTGAATGGGGTATGCCCAATTTTAGGTGTGGAAATTTGTAAGGGAGCCCGATCAAATAAAACTGAAAATTTATTGGTGGATATTAAAGGTATACAGCATCCTGTGCTTCTTGAGTCCTCTCTTGGAAGTTTACACATGCTTTCTATATCAGAATCAGAGAGTTCAGTTCAGTCCCATAGGGAGAATATCAAACTGGAATCTGATAGATCCACAGGTGGATCTGTTTTTCCTGTACCCATAGACATCAAAGTTGGGCATGCCACAAAGGTTGTTGTAATCTCAGGACCTAATACTGGAGGCAAAACTGCTTCCATGAAAACTCTGGGATTGGCTTCTCTTATGTCGAAGGCTGGCATGTATTTGCCTGCTAGAAACTGCCCAAGGCTTCCATGGTTTGATCTTGTTCTAGCAGATATCGGGGATAACCAGGTAGTAGCTCATCTTGTTTACAGAAGAGAAAATATCTTATTTATTTTGGTGAATCTGTTTGGTGTTTTTCTGAACCTATTATTTTTGGATTGAAGTCTTTGGAGCAAAACCTCTCCACCTTTAGTGGGCACATCTCACGTATCTGTAGAATCTTGGAAGTGGCCTCAAAAGAATCACTTGTTCTCATTGATGAAATTGGGAATGGAACTGACCCTTCAGAAGGTGTGGCTCTTTCAGCCAGCATTTTGCAGTTCCTCAAAGATCGGGTTAATTTAGCTGTGGTTACAACCCATTATGCGGATTTAAGTTGTCTGAAAGAAAAGGATGCTAAGTTTGAAAATGCAGCAATGGAATTTTCTTTGGAGACATTACAACCTACCTACCATATCCTCTGGGGAAATACAGGTAATTCCAATGCATTGAGTATTGCTAAATCAATTGGCTTTAATCAAAAAGTGATTGATGATGCACACAAATGGGTGGAGAGACTGAAGCCTGACAAGCAAAAGGAATGGAAAGGTTTGCTTTATCAGTCATTGGTGGAGGAGAGAAGCAGATTAGAAACTCAGGCTAGGAGTGCTGCGTTGTTCCATTCAGAAGCTATGGAGCTTTATAATGAGGTATGGTCGAGAAATTAAAAAAAAAAAATCATTGTACATGATATCAGTGTTTCACATATTTTATTGCCTCCCTGCCTTTTTATTGCTCCTGCAGTATACCATATAAGAAAGTTGAAATCAATGTGTGCAGTTAGTTTTCTCCTTCAGTAAGAATAATATGCCTAACAAGAGTTCAAGAATATTAGAATGCTCATAATGTAAAAAGTACCTCAATTTTTTATAGTAAATAGAGAAAATGTTATTAAGAAAAATAAAAAGATACTAGATTGAAATAAGGTGACAAGCTACCATTCCAATACACCACATTAAAGCAAATTAAAGGTTCGTCAATAGTCCATTCAATTGTTTCCCAAAATGTAGACCAACCTCTGATCAATTAACTTCAGAAAATTCTGGTAAAATCAGCATCCATTCCATGATAAGGTTTCCACTGTCAACACAAGTTCTTTTGATGTTTCTAGTCTTGTCCTAGAACAGCTTTCTGTTTCTCTCTCCTTCCATAAACCCCAACATAGAGCAATTAAAAAGAATGCAACTCCAAAAAATTTTAGCCTTCATGTTTCCATGTATCCTTGACCAACTTGAAAAGATATGATCTGATGATTTGAACAAGAAACCTGTTCTGCAAATAAGAAAAGAAACTCCAAAGAAAATTTGTTCTTTTGCATGTGATGAACAAATATCTAACATCTTCCTTATTATTGAAGCACAAGCAGCATATACTAGCCATTTTTACTGAGAAAAATAAAAAGATGTATAAGGTATTAAGATGATGAGCTATCACTCCAGTGCATCACAATTCACATCAAAGTAAATTAAAAGGTTCATTAGTAGTCCATTCAATTGCTTCCCAAAACCTAGCACCAAACTCTGATCCGTTAGCTTCAGAAATTTCTGGTAAAATCAGCACTAATTCCATGATCAGGTTAGTCAGCCCTTTTTTGAAGTCAATCAGTACCAATTGAATGGACTGTTGATGAACCTTTTAATTTGTTTTGATGTGTATTGGAGTGGTAGCTCATCACCTATGTTTCTAGTCTTGTCCTAGAACAGCCTTCTGTTTCTCTCTCCTTCCATAAACCCCAAAATATAGAAATTAGGCTTCTTTGTATCCCTGGCAAATTTGGAAAGTTCTGATCTGGATGGTTTGAACAGAAGCCTGTTCTGCAACTAAGAAAAGACACTACAAAGAAAAACTGCCATTTTGCATGTGATGAACAAGTGTCTAACATCTTCCTCTTTATTGAAACACAAGTAGCATATACTAGCAATTTTGAAACCTATATTTTTCAGATGATTAGATGTTAAAGATGCTGTCCATCACCACTAACCATGCAAGATTTCCACCCTTAGAGGAATAGGATTCTCCCAAAGTCCCTTTTCTTTGTAAAATATTAAAAAAAAAAATCAAATGGGTGGATAAAACCCTAAGTATTCAAACAAATCACAAATATACACATAAAAAACTTAGAATTGGTCTTTCACTTATTGACTCAATCTTGTGATGAGAACCCTACTATATATGCACTAGAAATGATCTTGACATAAGGCATAAGCCATGTGTCTTGTAGTTCTAGGTCTGAGCCTCAATGCATTTTCCTTGAGCCTCACCCCAAGGTGAGCCTCAAGGCCGAAGGCTCATGTGCATTTTAAAACACTGGATCAAATTTTTAGACCTGGAGGCATCCAAAGGAGTTGTGAGATAGTTTACTGATTTAGCTGCATGTATGTCATATGTATACTACAAGTGGTCTGTTTGAATTTAGAAAATGAATGCACAGAGAGCTAGATCCAACTGTGCTCCTTTGAAATGGATCTTCTTCAATGTATATGTTTGCACAATAATGTGTTCCACTCTAAACTGATCTTGTAGCATGTCTTGTTGGTCATGAACTGTAGAGCAGAGCAATTGTTTCTGGCATCCCAGCCTAGGCCCTAGGCCAATCAACTTCTGTTAACAAATTTTCTCTCTATTTTTCCCTTTCCATGGTTCTAAATTTATGAAGACCTCTCACCATGTACAAATGTTGATCATTGCAATATTCCTAGACTAATCTGGTGTGTAGTAAAACTGAAGGTCTTCATTTTTGTTTTATTCATGGTAAAGATCAAAGTTGAAGCAGAAGATCTCAATACGCGTGAAGCACTTCTGAAAGCAAAGGAAACTCAACGAGTTCAGGAGGAACTGAAAACTGCAAAATCTCAGATAGATGCTGTGGTTCAGAAATTTGAGGAACAACTTAGTAATGCAAGTCCTGATCAGTTTAATTCACTGATAAGGGAAGCAGAAGGCGCAATCAAATCCATTGTTCAGGCTCACTGTGTTAGTGATGGTTTCTCAGTCAGAGAAATGGATAATAGTTCTTATATACCACAAGTCGGAGAGCAAGTTTATGTTAAGGGATTAGGACATAAATTGGCTACCATTGTTGAAGCACCTGGGGAAGATGGTACCACTCTAGTTCAATATGGGAAAATGAAAATGCGTGTGCAGAAAAGCAATCTTAAAGCTATTCCAAGTAATGAAAGAAAGCCTACTGCAAGTTCTATTGCTCACTCAAAAAGGCTGGTAAGTGATGAACACTGCTCTAGAACATAGTATGTTGTTGTCATCCATTTGTTTGGTTATTTGATTTTATCTTTTTAATTAGAGGAATTTTCAAATTAAGCCAAGAAAATGGGGGGAAGGATTTCCTTTCGCTTTAAGCATGAATTTGGCAGATATTTAAGGATAGACTCACCACTAGAGGCTTTTTTTTTGTGGCAAGGACTAGCTCGAGTCTAGGATCGGAACAATATGATTATTATAAAACTTCTAACATTATTATTTTATTCATTGGCATCAACTCTTGACATAGAAAATATACTTGATGAGTACCAGCTGTAGCTGCTGTACTAGATATATGTGACTAATATACAGAGGAAGGGAAAAGACTTTGGAAATCCTCCCTTTTCTGCATAGGAACATCACATGTCATATTAATCTTTGTCTGTTAATGACATTCATGAATATGAATTCTTAACAATAGTTGCATCTGTAGAAAACATAAAATTCTAAAATATGGTTCACAATTCTCTATGTAACTTGGTTTGAAGTGTCTGTTGTAATGCTTATCGTTTCCTTCCAACAGTTACATAATTTTTGTGCATATATGTGTATAAATAGATTCAAATGTAGGGATATTCAATATGAGATGAAGAGGTGTTTCTATTTATTATGTCATGCATAAGCCTTCTTCTTATGTTATTAATGCTTCTCCATTATAGAGACATATGTGGACATTCTAATGCATGCATTTGTTAGTTCCACAGTAATTTGGTGATATATGTAGCCCAAAATTTTCCCTATTTGATGTCTTACACATTTTTCTTTGATGTTAATGAATGTGGATATGCCACCTAAATAAGAAGATTTTAGAATAAGATAGAGTCATGCTAAAATTAACTTCCTCACCCAGTGCAATTAGTAAGTTTGTTGCATTTGTTAGCGGGTTTACTAGTCTTTTATCTTTGAATCCAGTGATACCAAAATTGTTCATATAAATTACATTATATGCTGTAGGATCAGACTCAAAAAAGTTTGAAGGATCCTTTGGATGCAAACAAAGGTGAGTTCTCTTATGAACCGGTTGTGCAGACATCAAAGAACACTGTAGATCTACGTGGCATGCGAGTTGATGAAGCCTCTCATTGCCTGAACATGGCTATTGCTGCAAGTAGATCTCGTGGGGTTCTCTTTGTTGTTCATGGGATGGGCAGTGGAGTTGTTAAGGAGCGTGCTCTTGAGATTTTAAGTAAACATCCACGCGTTGCAAAATTTGAACAGGAAAGTCCTTTGAATTATGGTTGTACAGTTGCTTATATTAAATGAATACCGATTTTGTGTTGGCAACGTCTCATATACTCTCTTACTGTGTACTTTGCAAACTTGACAGTCTTGTATAAAAAGGGAATAATACCTAGCTTTCTTTTTCCCAATACTTGTCTCACAACATTCTGGTTTTAGTACCTCAGATTTGACAAATTGCACATCACAAAATCAGATTTGGTCCTCACAATCCCCTGAACATTTGACAAATTGCACATCACAAAATCAGATTTGGTCCTCACAATCCCCTGAAGCCGTGCATTGGGAATATCTCCCCATGAAAAAAAATACAATTACAGAGATGTTCCCAATGCACAGCTGTAAAAGCCTATCAGGATGGTGCAAGGACGGTTCTGTGAGGACCAAATCCAAACTTGTGCATCACAGAACTATTTGTTTTATATCGGTAGAAATCAACTTATTGTTTGCACAAACAATTATCACATGGATGTTGATCAAAGCATATCTCTATAACATAACCCTAAATAGCTCGTTGCTTATTAGGAAGATGCCCATGCCCTAGTGATTCCAGAATTTCCTTAAGTGTACTTAAAGACGAGCTACATGCAAAAATACATCTTTATTTTGCTGGTTGCATTGGATATCATCTTGCAATTAGGGCTGTTCACAGGTCGGGTTGGGTCGGTTTACTGGGGTTTTCCCAACCGACCCGACCTGGTTGGGTTATCTGAGATGGAAATCGAAACCGACCCAGTGTTAAGCAAAACCGACCTGGTCAGTTTGACTTGGGTTGGGTCGGTTTGGGTGGGTTTTGGTTTTGCTCCTGTACAAAAAGGACATAGAAGCCTAGAAGGAAATATCTATTCTGAAAACTGAAAACTGAAGTTTTTAAGATATTTTTTGGAAATATATTTAAAA